TTAAAGAGAATTTAGTGTTGATATGGATAATGCTTTATTGAATTGACATGTTGATAATGCTTTATTGAATTCATCCTTAATTCCTTTAGAATAAAATAGGAAGTGACATTTCCTTTCCACCCATTCTCTAAATTATCCATGTATTCTAGAATATTCTTTTGTTCAGACAAAATAAACACCTAGTTTTATTAATATCAGAGGTATATATTTTGAATAGAAAAGTTGGTGACTGAATGTTGATCAATACAGAGACCCTGTTGGGCTGCTGACAAGCAGACTGCAGACTTATGCGTGCTTTCAAAAATCCTAAAAATATATAGAAATAGATGAAAGGTATAAATTCAACTCCTGAATCTGAAAATCTTTACACCCTGATCCTTTGTTAGTGAATTCAGAAGTGAAGTGACTTGTTACAAAATAAGAACTGGTCTGCCAGTAAGATGTTAATTTACAGTATTTTAATATTACTTTTCATTGCAAAAAATTCCTGAAATGGTCTACCAAGGCAATAAAAGATTGAACTAAAAATCATTTCCCGCAAAGCTACCATACATTAGAAAAGGCCAACATAAAAACATACATTTTAAAAAATAATTTTCTAAAAGAAGGTAAACTGCACTGTGGCTTGTCATTACTACAGTTCCCAACTTTTATGCATATTCATAAAAATACCTAGTTTATTAATTCCCTTTTCTTATATTTATTTGTGTATTATATTACAGTTCAATTCACAAATGACTAAAACCCTATTATTAGAATTACAGTTTATTCAAATAGTCTGGCCTAATTTACACAGGATCATTCAAGACAAAGGCTTCCTACCCTAAATGGAACTTGCTTTCCAGTACCCAAGAAGCTATTACCATTTCAATTTTGTTTTAATGCTAACAGCTTTTCTTCTACTATCACATATCCAACTCTTCCACTTTCCCATTAGGACTTTATAAAGATGATTATGGTGTCTTGTTTCGGATACATTCCTACTCTCTCCATCCTCTATCCATTTACACACACACACACACACACACACACACACACACACACACACACACAGGTTGTCTTAAAAGGAAAGCTATAGTTCTATATGATTGAATGTGGACTGCCATTTTCATCCTAATAAGAGACCTTACATTGCTGGTAACTGTGCACTGTGTTCAAGCTAATTCAAGTACAGCTCCCTTTAGCTAGCTCCTGAACTAAACGTTGAGGTTGGGGGATAAAGGACTGATCATTGTAGAGAGCATCCTTCTTCCTCTACTTATGAGTTGTCCATGTGTTCGTATAAACACCTGAATGAGTCAAAAAGTGTGTGCTGAGTATGTAATTAAGTATGTAGTTAGTATGTAATTAAGTATGTAATTAAGCTTGGACTTGTGTTGCAAATTCAGAATACATGTTGCCTCAACATTAATTACTAGGATGAAGGGACAGCTACAGAGTGAATGTGGGGAAAGCCATGAATCAAGTACAATCAGAGACAGTGCTACTAATAGAATTTCTATGTGTGAATTTATGGTTCATAAATATCTTTACGATATTTCTAAGAATTTTCCTTACAAAATTCTTCATTAGAAAAAATAATCTGGAGCCTGAATTACATGCATTTACTTTATTTAATACCATTTTTAGAAAATTGCAATTAATCTTAAATGTATATACTTAATCTATCCTTTCTTCTTTCCTTCCTCTCTCCCTCCTCCCTGTCTTATCACAAGCTAAATGAAATTTTAGCAACTGTAAGCTACAGCAAGTAGACAGCAGTTTTGAAAACATGGCAAGAATAATCATAAACTCAATTGTAGGGGAAAAAACACTTTGCAATGAAAATGTTTTTTAAAATTAAAGCTCTAAGGAAATGTGTTTACAGCTACTTTAAAATAAAAAACCCCAAAGAATAATTTTATTAGAATTAAATAGAGTTATAAAACAGCAAGCTTTGTAAGTGTTTTTCAGATTGGAAGGAAAAGCAATGGGTACAGCCCAGAATGTTAATTCATAAATTGGTTTGCAGCATGTTAAGAGTGACATGGAAATATAATAATGGAATGCAATTTTTGTTCATAATGAGATTTCTCCTGTAGGTTGTTCTGTGGGTGGGTTTCATATTGCAGTTTTATATTGGGTCTGTGAAGTAATTGTGTTCCAAATCTACTAATGCAGGACAAGGAGGAACTTTTTGCTGATTTACTTAGGCTCAAATATCAAGCCCACTAGGAATTAAGCCTTTATTTTGAAATACTCAGTCATCATTAAATTATAAATAGTAATATTCTCACATAGGCTACTATAAGTAATTCTGTCTCAGTACTTATGCTTCTGTTCGGATTTGCATTTGTAGAAAGTTTAAATGCATTGATTTTCTTTTCTTTGTTAATATAGGAGCCAGCCACTCAATCAGAAAATTAAGGAATTTGAAAGGGAATGACAAACTGACACCATGCTCACAATGGGAGGCATGAGGAAATGGCAGTTGGATTTGGAATCCAAATTGCTGAAAATTCTCTCTGGATTAAAGAGAGATTTTGAGATTATACTTATACATTCCAGACAGCTGATATTTTTTGTGAAATGACAGCAGAAACCAAAGCTTGAATACTTCTTAACTTTGTATTAAAGCTGCTTATTCAACCATCTG